AACAAAGATCTTACGTGGACAATCTTGGGACTCCCATTACTGTATGTGCCGTTACGTTCTCAACCAGCTGAAGTTTCGTGGTGGCCCAGGGCAGTGATCCAAACAGGAGTGGATCAAGGCATGAGTGATCCACTTTGGAAGGCCTCCCTGGTCCAGGAAAGGACATAATTGGCTCACCAGAAGAATCTCTGCAAACCCCCTCTGCCAGCCATCATCTTCTCAAGCAAGAACCGTGAGTCCAGGGGGACCCCCACGTTGCGCACCAGCTGAGTCCCCAAAGGTGAACACATGACCCCAGGACACTGAAACTGTCACAAATCTGAGTCAATTGGCAAGGGTCCCTATTTCGATCATGTAGAGTCTAGACAATGACAATGCTGCAATGGTTGTAAGTGTGAAAAATGGTCGTAAGTCCCTTTTTTTTAGTGCTGTTGTGACTTCATGAATGGTTGCTATATGAAGTCTAGGACTACCTGTACATAATTTCGTATCGTACGATGGACGGCCTTCGGTAGCCATTTCACGTCAATGTTGAAAAGCAGCAGCGAAAGGCTTGAGCCCTGCGGCACTCCAAACTGCAGGGGCCTAGGACTCGGCCCCTCCTACCCACACTGACTGGACCCGGGCATGGAGATGGAAGTAGAAGCAGTGTAATAAAATGCCTCTCATTTCCAGTCCCAAACCCCTGTCCAGAAGGATATCTTGAAACCTGATGAGAGGTCTAGGAGGGACAAAATGGTTGTATCCCGTATATCCCGAGGCCTCCAAAAGTCCACAAGAGTTGCAACCAATGCCCTTTTTGTGATGTGCCCCGGCCTGAACCCAGACCGAGAAGGGCCCAGGTGTCTTTCTCCTGCACAGCCCTTTCTCCGGGTGGCAAAGTCAGAGCTGCAAGCAGAGGGCGGGTTGAGGTTCCAGGCTGCCAACCTCTCATTGTCCTATTCAGCTGCACTTAGAAAAGATCTTAATCTGCAGCAATGTCTTGAAATCCTCTGCCAGG